TTTTATATTATAAATCTAATAATAAATCATAAGAAAATATAAACTTTAAAAAGCTATACTGCAAAATTTTATTAATACAACTACTTTTGTATATTAAGTGAAAAATGATCCTAATCTTATTCTAAATTAATTTCTATAAAAAAATATCTTTTGAAAAAATTGGTATTTTTAAACCTTTTTTTAGCATCTAGCCTATATATATAGTATATTACAGATTGATTCGATATATTGTTATAAAGAAAATAGAACCAATTCATTCTTGGTATTTGCATTTTCGAATATTGTGACCAAATTCACCACAAGTTTTGCATATATACTTACGCTTGATCATATTATTATTTGCAATGAATGATTTAGCTTCTTCACCAAGAGCATTATCAGTATCTACATTACTATCAACAGTGCTTCTAATTACATATCATTGCTGTGAAATTTTTTGGGTATTGGTATCTTTATGTATATTCAAATCAGTACTCTCTGGCAATAACTTTGGTAGGCATCCACGTCACTTCTGAACCAATGGATTGATGGATGAATTTATGTAATCTTCATTGTTTATATCGTTACGTACATGTATATACAAATTGGAGTCAGGTGGGTTTACTGCACTATTTCTAGAATCACCATAATATGATATCTCTAATGCTAATTTAATATAACTATTTGGTGGGCACCAATGTTATTTTTGAACCAACAGATCTTGAATATATAAGTTTTCTTTGTCAATATTTGTATCTTTAGCACTATTTTTTTTACGAGTAATAAAACTGTCTACTATACTGATAAATTCATCTTCATAGTTTAAATCAAGTGCCAAATTAAATACTTTTTAAGCTTTCCAAAACTATGTGCATATCTAACTTCTCTTCGTATATGCTTTTTTGCTTCAGTTGCAAAAATATTCGATGGTCTGAGTTCATTAAATATACACAAATCAATAGTTATTTCTGCATTACTTTCTTGTTAAAATTGCATTGTTACACTCATGGTTTTTTGTAAATCCAGTTGAATATCATCATCTTGAAATTCTTTTAAATACTATCGTTTTGTAATGAGGCCAATATTAAATTTGGCAGTCTTTGAATTTAATATAATTTGAAAAAAATGCACACATATAAATCCATAGTTAATTATAGATAGACAAGTACATAAATATGCCCTATCAACTAATAAAATAATATAATATTTATATGGTATTGCAATTCTGAAAAGCTTCTAAATTTCTACAATATTAGATAGCTGTACATAATCTAAAAGAAAATATAAAGATATTTGGGGTCTATCAAGGTGGTCCTCGAGAAAACTATAATCACAATCTAGCTGATCAGAATCTTCCTGTATAAGATTAACAGATTCTTTAAAAATTATTTTTGCATAATACAATAAAGATTCATTAATTTGTTGTTTTTGAATAAATTGAATATGTGCCGGTAGATATTTTTTTATTACTGCAAAAACTTCATAAAATATAGGTTTAATAACTGAAGATGTTTGGTGAGTTGGAAGACTCTAGAAATATTCATTGTGATGAGCCCACTGAGATTCATTATCTAATAACTATTGAACTTGATCATGTAAAGAGCACAATAACAAAGTACGACTAGTGTCTGTTTTAATTAATCTATTCATAACTTCAACTCTTTATGTATTCTGGATTCGCGGTAAAAAATCCAACTTAAAAATACTTTGCCCATGATTTACAACAACTATTTAATGTATGATTAAGATATTCACAGGATTGAGGATATTGTTCGAGCAAGCATATCCAGCGGTGGTAGAAGTCATTCTTATATAAGCTATTTCGGGCATATTAAAATTTTTTATAGAATGATTCAAAATTTTGATCAAGCTTGCTTTACAAATTTTTCCGCAAATTTTCTTTAATATAGAGCATGCAGAGAAAATGATGAGTCGTGGGCATTACTGAAGTTATTGCATTAATTAATGCTAGATCCGTATCTGAAAATAAACAAATAGACAGAATATTATTAGTTGCTTGAAGAACACAACCAAGATATCATTTATAGCTTTCAGCAGTCTCATTTTCCAACAAACATTGCGCAACAAGTCTGCTTTTTGTATTATTATCCACTACAACTAACAAAGCTAGATATATATCAAACCAGTTAGTTATGTATATATTATCTGTTTGCACTATGTTTATAGCGTATAAGACATTGGCGCTGAGTAGATGATATCCAAAATAATCTAATAAGTTGGTTGTCAAATGGATCAAGTCTTGTAATAATTATCCAATCAGGCTCTTGGTTTTTCAAAGCTAACAATTTATTAATCATTTGCTAGATATTATCTTGACGCTTGGTAAATAGTGCTCTAAATTTTTAGACAGCATTGTAGAGGTCTTTTTTGTAAATTAATTGGTCCGAAAAGCTTGCAACTAATAAAGAATATATCTGTTTCGAACACATATTTTCTTTAGTTATATAAAATTCAATCTTTTTCATTATATTACCTGA